AGACCTTGTCTTTAAGCTCTTAAGTTCTTCCTTCTGTTTATTCAGTTCTATTGCAGAGACTTTATATAGCATTTTGCATTTCTGTAAGTGTGTCCATTATTTCCTGAAGTTTTGATTGTTTTTATTGCATTGAGTATTTCTCTCCTTACTTCTCATATCATTTTTTTGATTTCCTTAAATTGGGCTTTGCCCTTCTCTCGTGCCTCCTTGATTAGCTTAATGACCAACCTTCTGAATTCTCTCTCAGGTAAATCAGGGATTTCTTCTTGGTTTGGATTCATTGCTGGTGAGCTAGTGTGATTTTGGGGTGTGTTAAAGAACCTTGTTTTGTCATATTACCAGGATTGGTTTTCTGGTTCCTTGTCATTTGGATAGGTTCTGTCAGAGAGAAGGTCTAGGGCTCAAGGCTGTTGTTCAGATTCATTTGTCCCATGGGGTGTTCCCTTGACGTACCACTCTCCCCCTTTTCCTAGGGATGTGACTTCCTGAGAGTTAAGCTGTAGTGATTGGTATCTCTCTTCTGAATCTGGCCACACAGCAAGTCTCCCAGATTCTAGTCTGCTACTGAGGGTTGTCTGCACAGAGTCCTATGAACTGTCTGTGTGGATCTCTCAGTTGTGAATACCAGCACCTGTTCTGGTGGAGGTGGCAGAAGGATGAAGTAGAGTCTATGAGGATCCTTGGCTTTGGTTGCTTAATGCACTATTTTCATGCTGGTTGGCCTACTGCCAGGAGGTGGAGCTTTCGAGAGAGCATCAGTTGGGGTAGTATGGGGAGGAATAGGCAGTGAGCAGGGCCCTAGAACTCTGAAGAGTGTATGTTCTTTGTCTTCAGTTACCAGGTTGGGAAGGGCAGGGTTAGGTGTGTCTGAACTCAGACTCTCCTTGGGTGAGTCTTGCTGTGGCTGCTAAGGGGGATGGGGATGAGGTTCCCAGGTCAATGGAGTTAATGTTCCTAGGAGGATTATGGCTGCCTCCACTGTATCATGCAGGTTGTCAGAGAAGTTGGGGAAAGCTGACAGTCACAGGCCTCACCCAGCTCCCATGCAATCCAAAGGGACAGTCTCACTCCCACTGTGCCTGCCCCTCAAACACTGAGTCTGTTTCCAGGCAGTGGGTGAAAAGGGCTGAGAACTTGTCCCAGACTACCCACCTCCCAGCTGTGAAAGCAAGTAAGGCTTTCATTCTTCCCCTGCCCATGGAGTCCACATACAGGATTCATGCCCTCCCTTGAATTCTGGCAAGAAGACTTTTTCTTTTTTTTTTTTTTTCCCAGAAAAGAGTCTCACCCTGTTACCAGGTGCCAGGCAGGAGTGCAGTGGTGCGACCTCCGCTCACTGCAACCTCCGCCTCCTGGGTTCAAGCAATTCTCCTCCCTTAGCCTCCTGAGTAGCTGGGACTACAGGTGCACGCCATCATGCCCAGCTAATTTTTTTTGTATTTTTAGTAGAGACGGGGTTTCACCATGTTGGCCAGGATGGTCTCGATCTCTTGACCTCGTGATCTGCCCGCCTCGGCCTCCCAAAGTGCTGGGATTACAGGCGTGAGCCACAGCGCCAGGCCCAGAAAACTTTTTGATCAGTTCAAATTGTTACAGAGTTCAACTGGAGGTTTCCTTCTTCCTGTGGCTTTTTCCCCAGAGCCTCTGGCCATCCTCCTTAAGGCCCCCTGTGAGGTAAGGTGGAAATTGCTAGGGCACCTAGCAAGCCCATAGGGGTTTTCCCACTGCTTCTGCTACCCTTGTATTTCACTTGGCTCTCTAAATTGATTCAACTCCTGGTAAGGTGAGATTCTTCTCCCACAATCTATGGCTTCAGGTTCCCCGATGGGGTGTGTGTTCCAGGGTGGATGATCACCCTTTCCCACTTCCACATTATTTGGGGACTCACAGTATTTAGGATGTTTCCTGGGTCCTGCAGAGCAATCCACTTCCTTCAGAGGGCATGTGGGTTATCTCAGCTTTCTTAACATATTCCTGTAGTCTTTCTGGAGCAAAAGTTTACTGTACGAGCCTCCACATGCTGCCCTGTCCATCCGAGTGGGAGCTGTAATCTAGTCCTGCCTCCTGTCTGCCATCATCTCTCCTACTTTTGAGACTTTTTCTTTTTTGTTTCCATTTGTATTCTGCATTGTGTCCTAAGAAGTCAAACTGGCTGGCTATATAGCATCTTGCTAAATGACACCTTATTCTATGTAAAAGTACTTGTCATGATTGGAAAATGGTTCTTGAATACAAGTTTTTAAAGCTGTCCTGAGATATTGAGAAGGCAGTACAGTGTGGTGAATAAAAGGATGGGTTTCAGAATTAGATTTGGATTCAAAAATCAAGATCTGCCATTTACTAAGCCATGTGACTTTGGGAAGTTACTTAACACTGAGCTTCTGTTTCCTTATCTGTAAGAAGAGTATGCTAATTCCTCTCAAGTTATTGTAAGGACTAAATTGAATATTATATTTAATATGTGGCACATAGTAAGCACTCAACAAATGGTAGCTATTCATATTTTCTCATAAGTAAATAGGTAAAAATATGCATTTTAAAAGTCTTACTTAGCAGGAAACCGATAATACTGATTTTGATTTTCTTAAGTTGCTCCATTGTTCCTAATCAAGCCCTGACATGACAGTCCCGTTATTTATAAACTTAAGTTATTTGTATGTAGTTCCATTAACAGTACTTGTTCAATTTACTCAACATCTGGCTTTGCATAGTCATCAGAAATCCCAGTCTTTAAATACCATTCAGAGAACTCCAAGTAGTTTTCTAAACAGAGGGATTTGTGTCTATGACATTTTTTTCTCCTACTTGTTCACCAAACAGAACTCCGAAAAGATAACGCTGGATTCCCTCCACCCCTCACTCTGCCCCAGCCTTCCTCAGTGATTTTGGTTGAGAATGCAACAGTGACCTTAGTATTTAATTATATCTCTATGAAGCTGTTTTTAAAAACTGTGGTGGTAGCAGAGGGGAGAGAATACACTACAACCTGGTTCTGGTGATGTTGGTTATCTTCATTTTCCATCAGCATCCTTGGTTCTTGTTCCTCTACCTTATGTACCTGATTCATTTTTTTCAGAAGGAGTCTTCCTGCTTGGAAGACTCCAGCCACTCTACACAGTCCCTCTAAAGCACTACCCCTGTGTCCTTTCCATCCTTACACATTTTTAGGCAATAACTACTTTTTCTACTCAGTTCTAAAGAGAGCAGATCACTGTAAGCTTCAAATTTTTTTTTCTTATCACAACTGTTAGCAGTGTTTCACTTTCAGACATAATATATGGGTATTTGGATGTTTATAAATTATATACAGGCACTACCATAATAATGTATAATTTACATTCTAAAATATACCCTAAAATAGAATTTTTAATAGAATGAGATAAATCCCTATAAATAAAAAGTACATTTTTCCCCTGCCCTCCATTGAATTATTTCGTGAACCCCTTATTGGGTATATGCATCCCACTATGGATTCAGATTCATCCCTTGTATCCAAATTATAAAGTATTTGGGAAAACAAAATGTCTACCTAAACGTAGATTTTAGATAGTAGGATGTTCTTAGGAGTTGTTAAGATGAGTTATATAGGAAGAGTTGTATCAGTTAGTGAGATCAGCTTTTCCCAAACCTTATTATATCTGAGATCACTAAATCATTTAATTTTCTGCCTTAAACACCAAGAGAGAGGGACAAAAGGATAGTGGATGGTGAGATAACAGCCAAGATACACTTTTTATTCCTGGGAATATTAGGAAAGATGCTGAGTTTGAAGCAGTAATGATTTGCCCTGGCAAACTATAGACTCATGAATTAAGAAATATTCATATGGACTGTAAGTAGATTGCTAGAAGATTTCTGTGTACAAGAATTCTCTTCTGCATTCTAAGTTGCAGAGAAGCCTTGGGCCAGAACACAAAGCGGGGAATAGATAGGACTCAGATGAGTGAAGAGGAAAGACAGCATTTTCCACCGTTTGTTTGGATTTGCTAATTGTTTTTTGATCTTGAGTCACCCATTTGCGTGTTTGTTTCTTTGTTAGTGTTCCTTGTTCTCTATCATCTTTCACAAGACTAACTCCAACAGCTTCCTCACCATCCTTTCAACATTCTGGAATCCCCTTTCCTTCTCTTCTTTTCATTTTTAATTATTACAGATGTATAATGATTGTACCTCTTTTCTTCTTATCCACCATTATCTCTTACCTGGATCCTGGATTATTGCCTCAGCCTGCCTCCCTTCTTTTTCCCCTTTAAATCAGTTCTCCACCCAGTAGCCAAAGTGATCTTTCTAAAATTAAAATTTGATTCTTTTTCTGCTTAAAACCATTCAGTGATTCCTCACTTCCTTATTACAAAGTTTGAATTCTTCACCATTGATTACATGGCCTTTATTGTCTGGATCTTACCTTTCTAACTTACCACTTCTCCCCCTTATATTAGAGATACTCTCAATCATATTAAACTTCTTGCCATACTTTCTTTTACCTTTGGCTCTTTGCATTAGTTTCTCTGCCTGAAACTCTTCCTATTCTCCTGTCTAACTTGTACTCAAATTCATGTACCAACTTAAATTCCACTTTCTTGGAAGCACATCCAGACTACTTGCTTAGTCTATGCTGTTACCGTTTCTACATTCATGCTCTGGTATGTAATGCTAAAAACACAGGATTTGGACTGGGAGATGGAAGACTGAGGTTTGACTACTAATCTTTGCTATGCAATCTTGGGGAAGTCACTTAATGTCTTCAAGCCCTAATCACTTTATCTTTAACATGGAATAATGGCACTTTTCTTTCAAGCCTATTGAAGCATTTATTGATATAATATACATAAAAGGATTCTATAAGCACTAAAGCACCATGCTCATAAACATTACTGCTGCTACTATTGTTATTACTGCTACTGCTGCTGCTATTACTACTCTCTTCTTCCTCCTTGCCTGCTTCCTCATGATCCTCAGCAGTCTTTCTGGAGTGTTTTATATGGGACTTGGTTTTTTAGGGGATGAAGATTTTACCAAGGAGATAACAGAGCTGTTTTCCCAGCTGCACGTTTCCTCCAAACCAGAGAAACTTGCCAGGGTAAGTTATTATTTCTTGGTGATTTTCATTATTTTATTTGTAAGAATGTAGTGGATAAAGAGCATAAGATTGTAAATTCCTGGCAGAGGTATCACCAAAATTGAGGGTATATTCTCATTATACCCAGAATTGGATTGTGCATCTAGTTGTTTTCTGTTCCTCCAGGTTAGTGTGTTAAACCCACATCTGCCCCCAACACGTGTCCTATCTTCACCTGTTTTTATTTGGCATGCTCTCCTTGACTGAAAGCTTAATTTAGGCTACAGTGTTGGTCATTAAAAGTTGCCAGTGCTGACCAGCCTCCTGATTCCAATGGGTGAGCCTCTGTTGAGGTCTCATGGTTCTTAGGGGTCTGAATGATTTAGAGATGATATGTGGTCTTGCCCATAGGGATTAGAAGTTGTCATTGCCCAGAGCCTAGTGACTTAGATAATGACTGTTTGGCATATGGAAATGAGAGAATGTTATGACCAATGCCTTTATTTTTGGTACTGATTCCAGAAGTATTTTCTTGTATCTGGAATGTGGAGAGACTTTAATTAAAGCTCATTTGGGTAGGGAGGTTTTGCGGCACATATAGGCCGGTGCCTGCTCATGGGACACTGTTCACTGGGTCTTGGGCTGCTTGCTGCCTCTTTACCCACCTTTACCAACCTTGAGAAGCATTTCAGGACCAGTCAGCTGTAGGTGCACATTGTTTCCAGGCCAGGGAGAGCTGAGAGCTATTGTATAGTCCATCCCGTCACCTTGTCTCCATCCCCCAGGGCAAGGAATATGATGCTTGGTGTGTTATCCCACTCTCCTATGCCCATTGAAAATGCTGCATTCTCTGAGAAAGCTCTTGTAGATCATCCCCAGGCAGCTCATCTCCCTCATCTCTACGGTAACACTTTACTACAGCACTTCTGATCTTGTATTATAGTGCTTTTTATTTTGGAAATAATATCAAACTTAGAGAAAAGTTACAAGAGTAGCACAAACAACATTGTATACCTTTTATTCAAATCCAATACTATTAATATTTACCTCATTTGCTTAAACATTTGTGCTTTCACATGCGTTTTTTTCTCTCTGTGTATGTACATACATGTGTACACATAAACACACATATTATTTTTGTAACCATTTGAGAGTAAATTGTAAACATTATTGCTCTTCTAAATGTTTCAATATGTATCTGCTAAGGATAGGGATATTCGCTTACATAACCACAGCGTAGCTATCAACTTCAGTAAATTTAACATTAGTACTTTTGTTGTACTAATTTGTTGTAATCTATTAGGTTACATCAATTGACCCAATGATGTCCTTCATATCAAACTTTTTCCTCTAACACTGGAGCCAGTACACGATCACGAATTGTATTTAGTTGTCATGTACTTTTAGTTTCCTTTAATCTAGAATAGTTCTTCAGCCTTTGTGTTTTGACCTTGGTGTTTTTGGGGGAAAAAAAAAGCTCCCCCTGCCTTTATAAAAATAGAGCATTCCTCATTTGAAATTTGTCTAATGCTTTCTTATGATTAATGTCAATTTACTGGCCAAAACATTCCATAAATAATGGTGTGTCCTGGCCAGGGTATCACATCTAAAGGCACATGGTATCCATCTGCCCCTTATTGGTGACGTATTATCTGATTTCTTTCTGTAGAGTTACAATTTATTTTCCTATGTTGCTAATAAACTTTCTGTGAGGAGATACTTCAAGACCATATGAGTATCCTGCTACTCATCATAATTTCTCTCCTACATTTAGCATCTATTTATGATTCTTGCACCAATATTTAATGTGAAGATTTACCAGTTGGCTTTGAGCATTTTAGTGTAGTCATGAGCTCTCCTTTCTCCCCCATTTTTGTTCATTCTTTTTCTATTTGTTATCAGTATGCTTTCATGGAGCTCTGCCTTTTCCCCATTGGCTTGTAATTCATCACTGTCCTTTATTATTTTGATATTCAAATTTGTCTTTCAAGCTGGCTCCTAGGTGGCATGCCTTCAACATTTTTGGACACTTCCTTATTTTCTGGCATAACAATATATTCTAGACTCATCTTATGCCTTCTGTGCCCCAGCTCTGCAAGCAGACATTTCTTTGAGAAAGCATGCTTCCTTTTGGGTTTTATAGACCAAGACCTGGGTATTAAGTGTACTCATTGCTACTAGCGTGGCTTTGATTACAGACTGTCAGCAGAGCTAGGAAATATACTCAGGTACATATGCACACATATGTCTTACATATGTAGACACATAAATATGTGCACATGTATACCTATATGTATTTTAGAAATCATGAGTTCATACATAGTATAAATCCAATTTTAATCCACCCCTACAGGGTTTTTCCTTGCCTTTCCCCATTACACATTTGTATCTCCCTTCTACAGTAGGAACCTTGTCTCACAACAATATTAACACATTTCCTTAATTATGAGATGTATCTGAAATAGTTTTATTGCTTTGCCTATACTGTAGATTGAGTATCCCTTATCCAAAATGCTTGAAACCAGAAGTGTTTCAGATTTCAGATTATTTTTGGATTTTGGAATATTTGTGTGTGTGTGTGTCTGTGTGTGTGTGTGTGTGTGTGTATGTCTGTGTGTGTGTGTGTGTGTATATATGTATGTCTTTGTGTGTATGTATATATGGATATATATATATATATATACACAATTGTGTGTGTGTATATATATATATACAGACATATATATGTACACACAGACATTTATATATACACAAACATATGTATATATATAATGTTATATCTTGAGGATGCAATCAAGTTTAAACACAATTTATTTATGTTCATATATACCTTATACACATAGCCTAAACATAATTTTACACAATATTTTAAAAACTTTTGTGCATGAAACAAAATTTTGAATTCCTTTTGACTGCAGCCTGTTGCACGAGGTCAGGGTGTGGAATTTTCCACTTGTGGCATCATGTTGGCACTCAAAAAAATTTCAGATTTTGAAGAATTTTGGATTTTCAGATTAGGGATGGTTAACTTGTACTATAAAAGAAACACAAAAAAATTGTTTTATTTGCTGCCCTATGTGTTAATTTTATTTTTAAACATGTAGAGTATTTATTAACATGCTTCCAAATATCAAACTGCACAAAAAATATCCTCAGGTGTCTCTCCCTCCCACTTCCTTCCACTCCATTCTCCTCTTTTTGTAGGTATTCATCTTTCCTGTTTCCGGCTTATCCTTCCTGAGTTTCTTTTTGTAAAGATAAGCAGATATATTTTCTTATCTCCTCTGATGCAAAAGTTAACATACTATTTGCACTCTGCTTTTTTCACTAGCCTTGTACATAATGTATTTTTATGCATTTATCATAGTTTTAAAAAAATGTGTATCTTACCTCCTATCCTAAAGCTTAAATGTCTTGGAGCCAGGATCTATACATATCTATTTCTTAAAATTCCATCTCTACTACCTGTTACTTTCTGTGTGACCTTTAGCAAGTTGCTTGACCTTTGTGAGCCTCATTTTTTCTGTCTGTTTGATGGGTGGTAATAATGTAGGGTTCCTGTGAGGTTTAAATGTGTTAACACACAAAGCTCTTACAAATTTTGTGTATGAAATAAAATTTTGAATTCATTTTGATGGCAACCTGTTGCATGAGGTCAGAGTGTGGAATTTTCCACTTGTGGCATCATGTTGGCACTCAAAAAATTTCAGATTTTGGAGCATTTTGGATTTTCAGATTAGGGATGGTTAACTTGTACTATAAAAGAAACCTGCAAAAAATAATTTGATTTGCCACTGGCGTGGCTTTGATTCCATAGTAAAATGCTCACTGTTGATGGCTCCACAGAAGGTAGCCCAATGTCCTTTGCTTGCAGTTGTTCAATAAATATATGTATATGTTCAGTAAACCTTTATTATGCTAAGTGACTTGCCAGGTGCTAGGGAAATAATCTTGAAAAAGACATAGTTTACATGCTTAATGAGAGATCATATTAATATATATTTTTGTAAGACCAGTAACTCCTTATCTATCTGGCAGTTCTAGCCATTCTCTGAAAGCAGTCTTCAGATTGTTTAAATTTTAGACATTGAGATTTAAGATATAGATTGGTTAAGGATCAAGGCCTTAGCCATTGGTCCTTAAATACTTATATGTCAGGCTGTGATGTAGGGGAAAGAACACTGAATTAAGAGCCTGGGAATATAATTCTATGATTCTGGTTCTTATTCTGATATACTCACATGTGGTGTGATGTTGGACAAATTTCTTTTCTTCTCTAGGCCTCATTATTTTTCTGCTGGAGATAAATAAGTGGTTGGAGAAGCTAAGTTCAAAGGTGACTTTTGAGGTCTGCAGATCTCAACAGTGGGAAGTTCCAGACTGAATTGTGGGAGTGAATGACATTAATAATTTTGGAAAAGGATAGTAAATTACCTTGAGTTGGCACAATACTTCATGATGATTTCACTTAATACATTTATTACAAGAGAGGTCACTTTGGGTATGCTGTGCCTACTAAAATACCTCCTGGCTGGGTGCGGTAGCTCACACCTGTAATCCCAGCACTTTGGGAGGCCGAGGTGGGTGGATCATGAGGTCAGAAGTTCAAGACCAGCCTGGCCAAGATGGTTAAACGCCATCTCTACTAAAACTGCAAAAATTAGCTGGACGTGGTGGCAGGCACCTGTAGTGTCAGCTACTTGGCAATGCTGAGGCAGGAGAATGGCTTGAATTTGGACAACAGAGGTTGCAGTGAGCTGAGATGGTGCCACTGCACTCCAGCCTGGGTGACAGAGTGAGACTCCTCAAAAACAAACAAAAATCTCAGGTATATTAAATTTATGGTATCAGTTTTTTTTTCTTTTATGTGGTCTATCAACTCTCCATTTTTCTTTCTTTTTAAATCTCAGATAAATTAATCCTTCATTTTTCACTCATTTTGTCTACTCAAAGATATTGCAAAGAATTTAGCATACTGTTTGTATTATTAGCCAACTGTTAGGATTCTTTCCAGCCTCATCTGTCACTGTTCTTTTCTACAAATCTCGCTACTCTAACCTTGTTTTCTGTCACACTTCCCCATCCTCTATATTTTTCCATACTGGCCTTTGTTGTGTTTCTCAGGTATACAAAGCTGATTTCCTTGTGTGTACAACTCTCTTTGCCTAAATATTTGCGTGGCCAACTCCTTCAGATTTCAGCTGAAACATAACTTTTCTGGCATCCTTCCTGACTACCCAAACTAAGCTCTACCCGTACTCACCATTACCCCATTTCATTTTCTTTATGTATTTGTTTGTTTTCTGTTAGTTGCCTCATTAGGAGAGAGAAGAACAGGCTCCTAGTTTGTATTATTCACCATTGAATCCCCAGCACTGGCACAGTGTTGGTATATATTTGCAATAAATGAATGAATAACATGCCTGTTTCTTATATGATAGTATTGCTAGATATCTCACAGTTTACCTACACATTTTGCATTTTTCTGTTTCCAAGCCTTTATATAGGTCATCTGTTTGATGTTTTGAATTTGAGAGGTTAATGCTTAAGTAATGCGAAGGTATAGAACAGAGCTAGATTGTTCCTTGAGAGGTTAATGCTTAAATAGTGGGAAGGAATAGATCAGAGCTAGATTGTTCCTGAATGTTTTGGGAACACAACTCTGGCTTTAGCTCATTCAGGTAGCCTTGGGCGTAGTCCCACTTACTGATCCTTCAATGCCTACCTCCAATGCTGTATCTATAATAAAACCTGTGTTTCTCTCAGTTAGAATGACTCTCAAGGTCTTCTCTGGATTCCTATTACCTCATGACAGCTTTGAACACATTCTGTATATGTAAAGTTAATAAAGTGGATGGTAATAAACAGTTCCCGAGAAACCAGGACACTCTCACTTGCAAATAACAGAAGCTCATGAAACTTAAAAATAACAGAAACTAGTTTTAAAGAGGGAAATTCAGTAGCTTAAGAAAATAGAAAATCCAGCACCAGAACTGGCTTCCGGCATGGCTGTATTCAGGAACCTATCTCTATCCCTACCTGTGTCTTTTGGCCTGCTTCCTTTTGTTTTGGCTTCATTCTTAGGGAAACTTTTCCATATGGTAGTAAAAGGACCATTGGCAGCTCCAGGGTGGGTGACTTTTTTCTATTTGAGTAACTCCAGTGGAAAGAACACTTCTTTTTGCTGCTAATTTTACCAGATGTCCTGGGACTGATGTCCATTGATCTGGCATGGGTTACTTTTTAATCTATGAACCATTCACTCTGTGGACAGGGGTGTTAGCTACTTCTGAATGGTTTGCCAGCTTTTGGAGCCAAAAGATGGAGGCAGCTCCACCCAGATCACATGGACTAAGGAGAATCTAGAACCTGCTAACCAAAAGAAAGGAGAAAAGGATACTGATCATATCCATATCCAGAACAGTAGATGTTCTTCACAGTATGCTGGATACTGGGTATGGATGTGCAAAGCCAAATAAAACACACTGTATCCTATAATACATAGTTATGTTAGGAAACAGATAATTCTACTATATTTTATTAAGTACTAAGTTTAAGTTACCTGGAAGAGATGATGTCTGGGTGGAGGATTGAAAGAACAAGTACAGTAGAGGTCATTCTTACCACAACATAAATTGGAAAATGGTAAGAGATAAGGCTGGACTTTAAAGAAAAAAAAAAAAAGAGATAAGGCTGTTAAAGTGGGTAGGGTCTAGGTCATGGAGACCTGTTACATCATGTAAAGAGCACGATCCAGCTGATGAGGAGCACTTGAAGGAAAGAGGAATGGTCAGCCCTGGGCTTAAGACAGATCACTGGTAACATTATGGAAGATAGATTTAAGATAAACAAATCAGAGGCAGGGAGACCAGTCATGAAGTAGATCTGAACTCAAGCAGTGATAATAGGGAGGAAGAAGATGGGAAGGAAAAGCATGAAGGGGGCTTGGATAAAATCAGAGCATCTTGGTGATTGGTTGGAGGGCAAAAATATCTAAGATGGCCCCTGTATTTTGGCTCAGGTGACTGGTATATGGTGGCACCTCTAAAACTTTGGGAAATAAAAGAGGATGAAAAATTTGGGGGTAGGAAGAGAAAGACAATGAGTTCAAAGTTTTTACTTGTTGTATGTGTGATGCCTGCAGAGTATTTTGTCTAGCAGGCCTTTGGAACAAGTTTTCAGGAAAGGTCAGGGATAGAAATAAGGATCTAAGAGTCAACAGCAGGCTGAGGATAGTTAAAACTACTGGTGTAGGATGGGTGGAGAGGGAATAGGATGAGGCAAGTAGAGCGTGAAGGCTAGAACTCCAAATAATATTGGTGTTTAAGAGACTGGGCAAGTAGGATCAATATATAAGAGAGACTGAGGAGGAATGAGAACAGAAGAAAGTAGGGTCACAAAAACCAAAGAAAACCAAAGAAACAACCCAAAGATTCATTATCAGGAGAATGGATAAATTGTGATATATACAATCATGCATTGCTTAATGATGAGGGATATGTATGTTATGAGAACTGCATCATTAGGTAGTTTTGTCATTGGGCGAATATCAGAGAGTGTACTTACACAAACCTAGTTGATGTAGCCTATTACACACCTAGGCTGTATCGTATAGCATATTGCTTCTATACAAAACTGTACAGCATGTCATGGTACTGAATACTTTAGATGATTGCAACACAATGGTATAGGAAAGGTATAGTACAAATATGGTATTATAATCTCACAGGACCACCACTGTATATGTGGTCTGTTAAGCATCATTATGTGGTGTATGACTGTATATAAAATGAAATACTACACAGCAGTTAATAATGTGAATGAACTAATACATTCAACAACATGGATAAATCTAACAGACATTATGTTGTACTTAAGAAGCCAGACACAAACTAGAATGAACTTATATTTTTATTTTCATGCATTTTAAGATCAGGCAATATTAATTTAAAGTGAGCAGAAGAGTAGTTGTCTTTGGGCAGGAGGAGGGGGTTGTGGTTTGAACAGTTTTGGCCAGCAAGGGATATGAGGGGGCCCTTCTAGGGATGAGGAAATGTTCTATATCTTGATCACAGTTTCACCGGCATATACACTTATAAACATTTCTTAAGTCATATCCTGAAGATTTATGCACTTTATGTAAATTATACATTTTTTTAAAAAAAGCTGATTTGAGGCCAGGTACAGTGGCTCACACCTATAATCCCAGCACTTTGGGAGGCCAAGGTGGGTAGATCACCTGAGGTCAGTAGTTTGAGACCAGCCTGGCCCACATGGCGAAACCCCATCTCTACTAAAAATACAAAAATTAACCTTGTGAGGTGGTAGGTGCCTGTAATCCCAGCTACTTGGGAGGCTGAGGCAGGAGAAGTGCTTGGACCCAGGGGGCGGAGGTTGCAGTGAGCCTAGATCGCACCATTGCATTCCAGCCTGGGTGACAAGAATGCAACTCTGTCTTAAAAACAAAACAAGGCCGGGCGCGGTGGCTCAAGCCTGTAATCCCAGCACTTTGGGAGGCTGAGGTGGGTGGATCACGAGGTCAAGAGATCGAGACCATCCTGGTCAACATGGTGAAAACCCCGTCTCAGCCGGGCGCGGTGGCTCAAGCCTGTAATCCCAGCACTTTGGGAGGCAG